GTTTTGATTTGCATCTCCCTCATGGTTAGTGATGTTAAGCATTTTTTTATGTGCTTATTAGCCATTTATCTTTAAAGAAATGTCTATTCAGGTCCTTTACCCACTTTTTAGTTGAGTTGTGTGGTGTTATTGACTTGTAGTTTTTTTGTTTTTGTTTTTTTTTTTGAGCTTGTGATATAGTTTTTTTTCCCATTTATTTTTATTAGTTGGAGGCTAATTACTTTACATCATTGCAGTGGTTTTTGTCATACATTGAAATGAATTAGCCATGGATTTACATGTATTCCCCATCCCAGTCCCCCCTCCCACCTCCCTCTCCACCCGATCCCTCTGGGTCTTCCCAGTGCACCAGGCCCGAGCACTTGTCTCATGCACCCAACCTGGGCTGGTGATCTGTTTCACCCTAGATAAGACTTATAGTTCTTTGTATATAATGGATATAACCCTTTGTCAGATTGGCAAATATTCTCCCATTCTGTAAGTTACCTTTTTATTCCCTTGATTGTATTTTTTTGATGTACAGAAGATACTTTTGTAGTAGTCTTGTTTTTCTGTTTACTTTTGTTGCCTGTGATTTGATTTCTTATCCAAAAATGTCATTGCAAATTCACTGGCATAAACCTTTTCTTTCATGTTTTCTTCTAAGAGTTTCATTGTTTTAAGTGAGTTTCACTGTTTTAAGTCTTACGTTAATGTGTTTGATCCACTTTTTGTATATCGTGTATGGTAATAGTCTACTCTTGTGTCCTCTTCAAAATTGGTATGTTGAAACCCTAATGCCCTATGTGATGGTATTAGTAGGTCAGCCTTTGAGAATTGTTTACATCATGGGGACTTTGCCCTGAATGGAATTGTTGCTCTCAGAGGCTCCAGAGAGATCCCTTGCCTCTTCCACCATGTGAAGACACAGAAAGAGGGCATCTGCTATGAGCCAGGGAGCACGGCCTCACCAGAAGGAACCACACTGGCACCTTGATCTTTGACTTCCCAGCGTCCAGAACGGTAAGAAATAAATTTCTGTTGTTTATATACAGTATCTAGTCTGCGGTATTTTGTTGTAGTAGTCTGAACAAATTGACATGGTTCACCTTTATCCTGTGTGTGCATATCCAGTCTCCCCTGAGCCGTTTGTTGAAAAGACTGGCCTAAGCATCCTTGTTGAAAATCACTGAACCAGACACAGGAAAAGTTTATTTCTGGGCTGCCTATTCTAGTGGTCTATGTATCTGTTTATGATAGTACTACATTGTGGTAATAACTGTAGGTTTATAGGAAGTTTTGAAGTATAATACCTCCAACTTTGTTCTTTTTGAAGATTATTTTGGCTCTCTCAAGGGTCCCTTGAGATTCCATGTGAACATTAGGATGGATTTTTATAGAGTACATTAAATCTGTAGGTCATCTTGTGTTAGTGGCATCTTAATAGTATTGTCTTTCAATCTATGAACACAAGATGTCTTTTAATTTATTCGTTTTTCTTTTATTAGTTTCTCTCACTAATGGTTTGTAGTTTTCAGCATGCAAGTCTTTTGCCTCCTTCAATTCAGTAGCTCAGCTGTGTCCAACTCTTTGCGACCCCAAGGACTGCACATACCAGGCCTCCCTGTCTATCACCAACTTCTGGAGTTGACCCAAACTCACGTCCATTGAGTCGGTGATACCATCCAAATCATCTCATCCTTTGTAGTCCCCTTCTCCTCCCACCTTCAATCTTTTCCAGCATCAGGGTCTTTTCCAATGAGTCAGCTCTTCACATCAGGTGGCCAAAGTATTGGAGTTTCTGCGTCAACATCAGTCCTTCCAATGAACACTCAGGATTGATCTCCTGTAGGATGGACTGGTTGGATCTCCTTGCAGTCCCAGGGACCCTCAAGAGTCTTCTCCAACACCACAGTTCAAAAGCATCAATTCTTCGGTGCTCAGCCTTCTTTACAGTCCAACTCTCACATCCATACATGACTACTGGAAAAACCATAGCCTTGACCAGACGGACCTTTGTTGGCAAAGTAATGTCTCTGCTTTTTAATATGCTGTCTAGGTTGGTCATAACTTTCCTTTCAAGGAGTAAGCGTCTTTTAATTTCATGGGTGCAGTCACCGTCTGCAGTGATTCTGGAGCCTGGAAAAATAAATTTTACCACTGTTTCCCCATCTATTTGCCATGAAGTGATGGAACCGGATGCCCTGATCTTAGTTTTCTAAATGTTGACTTTTAAGCCAACGTTTTCATAGTCCTCTTTCACTTTGATCAAGAGGCTCTTTAGTTCTTTGTTTTCTGCTATCAGGGTGGTGTCATCTGCATATCTGAGGTTATTGGTATTTCTCCTGGCAATCTTGATCCCAGCTTGTGCTTCATCCAGCCCAGCATTTCTCATGATGTACTCTGCATGTAAGTTAAATAAGCAGGGTGACAATACACAGCCTTGACATACTCCTTTTCCTATTTGGAACCAGTCTGTTGTTCCATGTCCAGTTCTAACTGCTGCTTCCTGACCTGCATACAGAATTCTCAGGAGGCAGGTCAGGTGGTCTGGTATTCTCACCTCTTTCAGAATTTTCCACAGTTCATTGTGATCCACACAGTCAAAGGCTTTGGCATAGTCAATAAAGCAGAAATAAGACATTTTTCTGGAACTGTTGGCTTTTTCTGTGATCCAGCAGATGTTGGCAATTTGATATCTGGTTCCTCTGATTTTTCTAAATCCAATTTGAACATCTGGAAGTTCACAGTTCATGCACTGTTGAAGCCTGGCTTGGAGACTTTTGAGCATTACATTAGCAGCATGTGTGAGATGAGAGCACGTGTGTGTCAGTTGCTGAGCATTCTCTGACATCGCCTTTCTTTGGGACTGGAATGAAAACTGACCTTTTGCAGTCCCATGGCCCCTGCTGGCATATTGAGTGCAGCACTTTCACAGCATCATCTTTCAGGATTCGAAATAGCTCAACTGGAATTCCATCCCCTCCACTAGCTTTGCCTCCTTAGTATACAAAAACATAACTAATCTTTGTGTGTGAAGTGAGGTCTGATAACTTTGCCTTTTCTTTTTCTTGTCTGTTCTGGCTAGGACTTCTAGTGTTTTGTTCAAAGTAGTGACAGCAGACATCTACATTCTTGGTTCCTGATCTCGTCAGTCTTTCATCATTGACAATGAATGACATCATGCTTGTTGCCTTTTCATATATGAACTTCAGTTTCCTTCTAGTCCTAGTTTGTTGTGTTTTTATTGTGAAAGGGTCTTAAGGTTTGTCACAGAGATGACCAAACGGGGTTTCCCCCCATCGTTCTGCAAACATGGTGTATTACAGAGACTGACGTTTCTTCTGTTGAGCTATTTGTGCTTTCCTGGAATAAATCTCTTGGTCATCATGTATCATTCTTTTAATGTGCTGGTGAATTCTGTTTGCTATTATTTTGTTGAGGATTTTTGCACTTATTTCTTTTCTTGCTACTTTTACAATTCTGTCTTTTGACTTTTGATGGTTTGATTAAATCTTGGTGTGGGCCTCTTTGGATGTATCCTACTTTGAGTTTTTTAATCTCTTATTTTTGCTATGATCTGAATGTTAGTGTGCCCTGGCACTCACCTTGCAGTTCTTGAGGTATGGCCTTTGGGACTGCTTCAGTCATAAGGGTGTAACTCTCAAGAATGGGATTAGTGCCTGGCTCTGGACCCTTCCCACCACATGAATATATGAAACGTCTGTGCCTGGCAGAGGGCCCTCCCTGCATCCAACAGACTGGTCCTTGGTAAAGGTCACCAGGTCATGCTCTGAAGATCTTTCTAAAAAAGCATCTTACTTTCTGCTCCTGTAAAGGAGTAAAAACCCGTGCCTAGGTGTTCAGTGAATCATTGGTCTAAAGGTGGTGAACACAGGTCTAGTGAGCTGTGAAAGCTGTAATGAACTCTGGAGAAAATTTGGGGTTAGAATTGAACAGTTTGTATTCTCTTGCTCTTACCTTTCAGTGAGCCTAAAACCATCCTTTAATACCAGAATCACCAGTCTTACAGCAATTGTTAAGATACTACTTCAGGATCAGAAGATCCAAGTCTTTGGGACTTTTTAAATTTTGTACAAAGATCAGCTAAAAACCTATTAAGATGAGGAGACTGAGACGAGAAGGGTAGGGGCAAAAACAACCCACAGGCTACTTGTACCTGGTAAAAGCATCAACAACAAAACCCTCATCTCAGAAACATCCTCAAAGCTTAGGTGCTGAAATATTAATAGTCAAAGGTAAAATTTAAATTGCCTTTTCACCAGTCTGCTAAAACCATCTTTTTAAGCAGAAGGCATGTAAGAATTTTGCATTTTCAAAATTTTAGCAAATTCCATTCTGACACCTTTTATAGATTTGTCCTACTTTTTGTGCACATGTTATGCATATGCTTTGAAAACATGTACTCCAAATAGACTGCCTCATTAATATACGTTTCCCTTTAGAGTCCCTGGCCATGAGATATTATTGAAGCTTTTTGAGAAACCATTTTCTGATACTTGACTTCTACTTTAGAATAACATGATATAGCAAACCTAAGTGATCTGTTCTCAATACCTGACCAACCACACACTAAAGATTCTCTAACAGGATCTGGTAAATATACAGACATAGTCTGTTCTAAATCACATTTTCCCAATGTGATTGATATGTAGCAGTCCCCCTGACTTCCACCCTCACAACAAACGGGTACCCCTTCTTCAACTTCTGACATCAAAAAAAGTACCTCCAGACATTTTCAAGATGTTCCCTGGGGAATGAAACTGCCTGCACTTTCTGTGACAATGGAAATACTCTGTAACTTCTGATAGAGTGACTGGGAAATAGAATTCTTACCTTTACTATTAAATCCTACATATATATTGTGAGGACAAAATGCTTCAGCATGAAAAACTGAGTTGGGTACCTCTGGTTAGTAGTCATAACTCAAAATTCACTTACAGCACTGTTTTAGCATTTCTTGTGTTTATTAAATATCTCCTAGAAAGAAAATAACCAAGTCAGGATTGAAAAACATTTATTGAATCAAAATCAAATACTTTTTTATTATCTACAAGCCAACACTGAACTTACTTTATTCAAGAATGAACACAATGTACAAAAAAAGTATGCTTATATTATAAAAATATGTCAATTTTATCTCCTGGGTGCTGAGCAGAAGTCATTTTAAACAAAATCAAGGCAAACTTGCTTTCTATAATAGAACTGCTATAATTTAATAACAAAAGTGAAAGCTAATATATACTCACAAAGTATCTTTAAAGGCCCACTGATAATGCTGCATCGGAAATGCTGAACCCAATCAGCATAGTTCACATTTCCGCTCTATGCTCATTGGCACCACTTCACGCCTACATCACAGGAAAGCACCTCTTTTAAGAATGCATGTCATTAGTTAACAGTTGTTAGCACATGTTTCAGCAAAATATTAACAGTCAATTCTATTTAGTTAGCTTCAATTTTCAAATGAGACACACTGTTATCGGGAGCAAATGACATCCCAAGGTTTAAAAACCAACTTATCAATGGGGGAAAGTGGACTCCCTAAAAAACCTGTGTCCAAGGTTAGTATCTTAAAATTCTTGGTAATTTTCTTATTTCTTGAGTCATTATTGGCACCTTCCTTGGCATGTGTTCCTGCACACAGTGTGGCTACTTGTGCCTGTCAGAGGCAGCTGCAGAACAATTAGAGGCTGAAGAGAGCAGCCTTTGGCTTACCATGGAGACATGCTCCAGTTCTCACTGGAGAATTTGGTCCTTGGAGAATCAGGAAAGCGAGCGATTGAGAAAAAGAATAAAGTCAAATAATGATGTAGGGAAAAGGGACCAGGGCTCCCTGTACTGTTCTAGTAGTTACATAATTATAAACTCTGCACTAAAGTCACAATAGAAGTAGACTAGCATTATCACTGACACCACCAAACAAGCCATGTTCTTTAAAGAGCGTGCAACCGCAGCATCCCCGTCAGGACCCTCCCTGCCGAGCAGAACAACAGTGGTCAAGCAAAATCCAGAATGGAGTATCAACACAATTAATGACATCAAATGAATTCAAGTTTAGAAGTTATTAAATTGCAAAATGCCTACTCTGATTGCTAAGCATAAATGTTTTTTGTTGACAGATTCTCTGAAATTGACACCTATGAAGATCAAAACTGCAGAACTAAAGGACTGAATAATCTAGTGCCTGCGGTATAGGGTAACTTAAAAGAACTGGGGGAAGAAATCCTGCCATGTTTTGCCTCTATAAACCCAGTATTTATTCACTTACCTATTTAATAAGAACTTGTGATTAAGGTGAAGAGAACAGCTCTAGATCTCTCTCTATGCAGTTACCTAATTCCTTACTGTTTTCTTCCAGTCTAAACTAGACATAGGATTTTAAATTTCTAATGGAAACCAAACCACTACCAGGCTTAGCACTACACCCTTATGTGGAAGGAGGAGCATTTATAGAAACACAATTTGTGAAGAATGCTTTGAAGCCCAAGGATTCTTGGCAATACCTTAAATCACCATGCAGGTTGTTCTCACAGGCAAACAACACAGCCAGATCAGCCGCTGCTCCTGGAAACTTCCACTGTCCCAAAATGTGAACATGGAGAGGCCAATGACTCCAGAGTCCATGCTTAGAAGTAGAGGCTAAGCAGCTCAACAGACTGCTACTGGAAGCCAACTGGATACCACAGTATTAAACATAAACAACTAAAAACGGAGACCAAGCACATACAGAAATGAACAGCTACTAAGAACATGATGCTCAGAGTCAGAGTGGATGAGGGGATTACCACACACTCGATAGATAACCACACTTGTTTACAATCCCAGGTCCTTGCTCGCAAATAAATAGATTGAACATTTACAACAGAATGAATGCCTTATGAATGCAAGCTTTTCTTTTATTATAATTCTAACTAAATAAAAGTTATACTTCTAAAATAAGCTACAAGTTGCCTTTTTCTGTGAAACTGATGTGACTTGGTGCCACAGCTCACCTTTCTCTAATAGCAGCAGTATCATCCACCCATGGCAGCCAGGAACTGTCCCTCTCTGGCATCCTGTGGGGTCCCACACAAGCAACTTCATAAAGCATGCAGACACTGCTCTGCTGCAGTTTCATATGAACAGAAATGATCATTGTGCTTACGGGTCACATACCTTCCAAAATATACATAAATGGTAACAAATTAACAAAAGCAGGTCTTTGCTTACCAATAAAATCAATAAAGCAGAGGGGTTGAAGGTGGAAAGAAAAATGTGGGGGAAGAATGCAAAACAGTGCTAGCATTCACAAAAAAAGATCATGCTAAAATCAGATCCATATTCATAAAAATCAAGAATTAAGCCACAATCCAAAGAACTCTGTCCATGAGTCCAAAGGCATGCATGCCAGTTGAAGGAAATGCAGGATTCTTCTGACAAGTTTCTTCAGAGCAGAACAGGAACGTGTCACTGGAGCAATCACAACAGGGTGAACAAGACGCCATCACGCTTCTTTTTTTTGTAATTGAAAAGGAAAGAAAAGCAACCATGACCAAAAAAAATTAACAGTGGGAACAAAACAGAGAAATTCACAATGACCTATAAAACCAAAAGAAAAAACCAAATTATTTTTATACTTCAGGAGTTTCATGCTTCCATTTAGACGTTGTCTTTTAAATTTGAAAAGTTTATTATGAAAGATTTACCCATAGTGGTGTTAAATATAAAATTACTTCACCACACATGGGATTTCACACAATATCAGTACTCAGTAACTTCATTCATGTTTAAAGGACACATAAGAGATACTAGAACCTCAGTCAGAGGCTCCCCCAGAACAAGATGTCTGAAAGCATTTAAAGTTTCTCAGAAGGAAAACAACAATCTGAAACTAATACCCAAATGCTGTAACTGACTATGAACAAACTATTTTTGCCTTTTCTAGTAAGTTCACTTTTTTTTTTTTAATAAGACTTTTATTTTTTGAACAGGAGTCTGAACTAAGCCTCTCCTTGTCAGTGGCCATGGGGCTCTGAGGCACTCACCGAGGAGAAGTCCGGGGCTATCCTGCCTTTGTGTCCACCAGCTGCATCTGCACGTTGGCGGCCATGCCACCCCCGTAGCCTCCCTTGGACTGCATCTGGTTCTGAATGGAGCTGACCTGAGACGAGAAAGGAAAAGAACAGGTCAGGAACTAGGGCCACTGCAACCAGTCAATTCTTTTAACAGTCTGGCTGGGCTGTTTTTCCCAGAAGGGTACTTTTTATAGAAAAAAAGAAAATATATATCTATATATATCTTTTTATAGACTTAGAAATTGTGTGGCTGAACCATTCTTTTTCTTTTTTTCTTTTGCCAAAACACCCCCTACTCCACTTCACTATTACAAAAAAAAAGTTTTGTAGTTCACAAGGTACATTTCAAAACCAGGAAAGGAACTTTGTTCCTCAACCACCTTAATTTACAACCATCTCACATATGCAATCACCTCAATTTCTTGGATTAGAATCCAAAAAATAAAGTAGGAAACAACCAAAGATAAAGTCCATGTGGTAAAATTTACATAGTATAGTATTGTGTGCATGCTAAAAATGACTTTGGTCGTGTCCTACTCTCTGCAGTGTTATGGACTGTAGCCCACCAGGCTCCTCTGTCCATAGGATTCTTCAGGCAAGAATACTGGAGTGGGTTGCCATGTCCTCCTCCAGGGGAATCATTCTCTCCAGCTTTTATCACATGATTAGAGCCCCTGAACTTTATTTGACTCATCCTCTGCTGAGCCTATGATGTCTCCTTAACACACCGGGGGATTTGTGCAGAAACCTGTGGCCAGCAAGTGGTTATGTAAGAGAAGACTGAAACATCTCTAGTCAGTAACGAGTTAACACCCTCAGAACAGGCTGCTCTCAGGTTTACAGAATCACTTCCAAATACGACATCATGTAACCCTCACAACAGTGCCAGGAGGAAGCAGCTAAGAGCTAAGCACCTGTGGAAGCCCAGGCGTTTTACCCTCAACCCTGATAAAGGCAGAACCCCAGGCCTGCACACTCCTTTTACCTGTGGCTGTGAAGTGTGGCCCCAGGTGTGCCATAGACCCTCCAGGACTTCACACGCCTCGACACAGCCCTGCCCGGCAGAGGGACAGGACCCTGCTCCACCCACCAGGGGGCTTCCACAAGCCTCAGGACCACTCGGGGAAGGCACTACAAGAAGAGGAACTATGATCCTGCAGCCAGCATAAAGGAGTCCATAAACAGACAAAATGAGACGGCAGAGAAATGTTTCGGACGAAGGAACAAGATAAAAACTCACAAGAAACAACTAAATGAAGAGACAGCTACAGAAAAAAAAAAGAATTTAGAGTAATGATGGTTAAAATGGTCCAAAATCTTGGGAAAAGAATGAGGCAGAGATTGAGAACTTACAAGAGATGTTTAACAAAGAGTTTACAAGATGTAAAGAACAAAGAGATACCAAGAATACAATACCTGGAATGAAAAATACACTAGAAGGAATCAACAGCAGAATAAATGAGGCATAAAAAGTAAATAGCGGGAAACAGAATGGTAGGAATCCCTGTTAAGGAACAGACCAAAGAGAAAACAATGGAAGGAAACAGGACAGTCTCAGATACCTCTGGGACATTAAACACACCCAACATTACATCATAGGGGTGCTAGAAGGAGAAGACAGAAACGGCCTGAGAAAATACCCAAAGAGGTTATAGCTGAAAACTTCCCTAACGTGAGGAAGGAAACACTCCATCTAGGATGTGCAGAGCGGCTCACAGAAGATGAGCTCAAGGAGGAACACACTGATCAAACTGACAAAAGATAAGGAAAAAATATCAACAGCAATAAGGAAGGGCAACACGTAATATACAAGGAAATCCCCATAAATTTATCAGATGATTCTTTAATATAAACTCTGCAGACCAGAAGGGAGTAGCATTATATATTCAAAGTAATGAAAGACAGAGATGGAAAATCTCTATACAGTCAGCAAAAACAAGACCGGGAGCTGATTGTGGCTCAGATCATGAACTCCGGATTGAAAAACTCATGCTTAAATTGAAGAAAGTAGGAAAACCTAGGTCATTCAGGTATGACCTAAATCAAATCCCTTAGATTATACAATAGAAGTGACAAATAGATCTGACAGAGTGCCTGAAACACTATGGATGGAGGTTTGTGACACCCATACACAGGAGGCAGCCATGATCAAAACCATCCCCAAGAAAAAGATGCAACAAGGCAAAATGTGTCTAAGGAGACCTTAGGCCCAATCATGAGTATGAAAATGAAATGATGATTAGAAAATGTCCAACAAACGTAAGTCCAGGACCTGATGGCTTCAGACAAACTACATCACATGTTGAGAAAAGAGTTAACGCCTATCCTCTGAAACTCCTTCCAAAAGACTGAAGAGGAAATATTCCCAAGGTCATTTTATGAGGTCAACTTCACCCTAATACCAAAACCAGACAAAGATACCATCAAAAAAAATAATAATAAAGGAAAGAAAATTACAGGCCAATATCACTGATGAACAAAGATGCAAAAAATACTCCCAACTGTATATTAAAAGGATCATACACTATGATCAAGTGACATTTATCCCAGGGTTGGAAGAATTTTTAAGTATCTGTAAATCTATGTCACAATCCATTGTCACATTTATTCAACAGAGTTTCAGAAGTCCTAGCCATGACAATCAGAGAAGAAAAAGAAATAAAAGGAATCCAAACTGGAAAACAAGTAAGACTGTCACTGTTTGCAGAGGATATGATACATAGAAAATCCTAAAGATGCCACCAGAAAACTACTAGAGCTAATCATTGAATTCAGTAAAGTTGCAGTGTACAAAATCAGCACACAGAAATCTTTTTCATTCCCATACACTAACAACAAAGACCAAAAAGAGAAATTAAGGAAAGAATCTCATTTACCATCACATCAAAAACAATAAAAAACCCAGGAATAAGTCCACCTAAGGAGAAAAAAGACCTCTACTCTGAAAACTATAAGATGTTGATGAAAGAAATCAGAGATGACAGAGATAGCAGGATATATACACCATGTCCTTGGATTGGAAGAATCAGTACTGTCAAAATGAGAATACTACCCAAGGCAATCTACATATTTGATTTGATTCCTATTAAATTAGCAATGTCATTTTTCACAGAACTACAACAAAAAGTTATTAAATTTATATGGATACAGGAAAGACCCCAAATAGCCAAAGCAATCCTGAGAAAGAAAATCAAAGCTGGAAGAAACAGGTTCCCTGACTTCAAGACTATACTATAAAGCAACAGTTATCAAAGTAGTATGGTACCGGCACAGAAACACAGATCAATGGAACAGGATAGAAAGCCAGAAATAAATTCACCCATCTATGGCCACCTAATCCATCACAAAAGGAGGCAAGAGTATACACCGGAGAAGAGATAGTCTCTTCAGTAAGCGGTGCTGGAAAAAAAGAATGAAGTAAGAACACTCCCTAACACCATTCACAAAAATAAACTGGAAATGGGTCAAAGACTTAAATGTAATAAGGCCAAACCCTATGAAAGTCTTAGAAGAAAAGATAGAACACGGACATAAATTGCAGCAAGATCTGTTTGAATCCACCTTCTAAAGAAAATAAGTGAATGGTACCTAGCTAATTAAACTCAAAAACTTCTATACAGCAAAGGAAACCATAAACAAAATGAAAAGACAACCCACAGAACGGGAGAAAATATTTGCAAATGTGGCAACCAACAAGTGAATAATTTCCAAAATATACAAACAGCTCATGCAGTTGTATGTCAAAAAAAAAAACCCAATCAAAAAGTGGACAGAAGATATAAACAGACATTTTTCCAAAGAAGGCACACAGATGGCCAAAAAGCACATTCAAAGGTGCTCAACACTGCTAATTATCAGAGAAATGCAAAACAAAACTACAGTGGGGTATCACTTCACAAGGGTCAGAATGGCCATCATTAGAAAAAGTCGTCAAACAATAAATGCTGGAAAGGGAGTGGGGGAAAAGGGAACCCTCCTCCTGTTTATGGGAATGTAAACTGGTACAGGCCACCACAGAGAACAGGATGGAGGTTCCTACTATGTGACCCAGCAGTCCCACTCCTGGGTGGGCATATATCCCGAGAAAACTGTAATACAGAAGGATACATGCACCCCTATGTTCATAGCAGCAGTACTTACAATAGCCAAACAACTTAAGTGTCCACTGACAGAGGAATGGATAAAGAGAATGTGGTAGATATAGACAATGGATTTTTATTACTCAGCTATTTAATAGAATAAAAATGCCATTTGTAGAAATATGGATGGACTTAAGAGATTGCCATACTGAGCAAAATAAGAAAGACAAGTGTATGATATCTCACATGCAGAATCTTTAAAAAAATGGTGCAAATGAACTTATGTACAAAACAAAGAGTCACAGGTGCAGAAAACAGTATTATGGCTACCAAGGGGAAAGTGGGTGAGAAGGATAAACTGGGAGACTGGGACTATGTAAAAACAGAGAACTGTTCAACAGAAGGACCTGCTGTACAGCACAGGGGATTCTAGCGCTCTGCAATGACCTCTATGGGGAAAGAGTCTAAAAAGGAGTGGATATGTGCACAACTGATTCATTTTGCTGTATACCTGAAACTAATACAATGTAAATCAATTATATTCCAATAAAATAATTTTAATAATGAAATAATGCCATTCACAGTACAATGAATGGACCTAGAGATTATCATACCAAGTGAAGTCAATCAGAGACAAACATTATCAGTCAGGTGGAATCTAATTTTTTAAAAAATGAACTTATTTATAAAACAGAAAGACTGACAGGTATCAAAAGCAAACTAATGGTTCCCAAAAGGGAAACACAGGAGGAAGGGATAAATCACATACACTAGTATATACAAGACACATAACCAGCAAGGCCCTACTGTATAGCACAGGGAAGTCTACTCAATATTCCATGATAGTCTATATGAGAAAACAATGTAAAAAGAATATGTGGATAACTGAATCACCTCGTTCTACACCTGAAACTAACACAGTATTGTAAATCAACTATACTCCAAAAATAGAATCCAATGACTTCAACTGTATTCCTAATTTATTCATTAATACTGTAACTCTGGATGAACTATTTATCTTCTGTGAATATCAGGTTTCCTACTTGTAAAATGATTAAAGATGACACTCTCTCCTAACCATATTACAGGGCTACTTTCTAGTGAGATAAAAATGCTGGGGTATCTTTTTTATTCTGGCCGAGCTGTATGGCATGTGGAATCGTAATTCCCCAAGCAGAGATGAATCCCATGACCCCTGGCAGTGGAAGAGTGGAGTCTTAACCACTGGACCACCAGGGAAGTCCCAGTGGGGTATTTTCTTACTTTACTAAAACAAAGGCACAAGGTTACCTGCACACTCTAAAGTGCTCTTAGTATATCGTATCTTAGTTTGTATCAATCAGAAGCATTTTGGAAACAGAGAATGAGAATCACACTAGATTGCTAGGAGCGGGAGGAATAGAAGGTCACGGCCTAACAGATTCGGAGTGAGGCAGGTTTAAATACATTCTAATTGAAAATAATAAAACATAAAATGCATAGCTTATTTGCGTCCAGTATGTTTAAGGCGAGAACATGTGATTGGATCTTAAATGGGTAAGTTTTCACTCATGTACTGAAAAATTCACTTATGTGGAACTAATTCCAGTGATACCACATGAGTTACTGCAATATCTATATTCACATGACTAAACAACTAGTTTAGGTAAGAGTATCTTAAAAAAGAAACTAAAATCTACAGGTCTGTTTAAGCAAGCTTGCTCTGCCTGAGGAGGCTGTGGCCCACAGCCCATCAGTTCACTTCCTGCTCCTTTCTGGCAACACCAGGTTTTGTGGCACAAACTTGGATTTTACCGTGGTGCCAAATAATTTCCTACCTAACACAACATGTTATCCTAGACTTTATAGGTATCCTAGGCCTATTTACAACAACACCTTTATATTTTTACATGGTACATTCATAATGCCATGCAGATTCTAAGAAAGACAAATCTGCTTTTCTTCCAAAAGTCAGTTATTTAGTTTGAAACAAAAGAATCTGGATTTCCAGTAAGTAACCCTCATCACTCACGTGAAACGTCGAGCTGGATGAGTTACAAGCTGGAATCAAGATTACTGGGAAAAATATCAACAACCTCAGGTAACTGGATGATACCACTCTAATGGCAGAAAGTGAAGAGCCAAGAAGCTCTTTAGAGCCTCTTGGTGAGCGTGAAGGAGAAGAGTGAAAAAGCTGGCTTAAGACTCATATAAAACAAGTAAGACCACGGCATCCGGTCCCATCACTTCATGGTCAATGGAGGGAGACGCGGAAGCGGTGACAGGACAGACTTCCTCTTCTTGGGCCCTTCTGACTCCGGCGACTGGAGCCCACCAGGCTCCTCTGTCCATTACGTTTCCCAGGCGAGAATCCTGCCGTGGGTTACCATTTCCTTCTCCAGGGGAATATTCCTGACTCAGGGATCGAACTTGGATCTCCTGTGTTGCAGGTGGATTCTTCACCGACTGAGCTACAAGGGAAGCTCTTTTTTGCCTACATAGTTAAATTTTCATGAACACAAGTAGGGAAGACGACGTGTTATGAGAAAGAAATTAAAATTCATCAGCTATAATAAATTATAAACCATTCATTCTATTTATGTTTGTCACAATGACCTTAATATTAACAACAGTTAACAGTCCATTTGGTCTCATCATTCCACAGATCCAGGAAACAAAGCTACTGAATTGTATTTTAACAGCAACCCAATGCCTCTTACATTTCCACAAAAGCAGCTCAGTGTACTTTTCCTACAGACTTAAAACAAACAAGCTGTTTCCTTTCCAGGAAGCTACAAATGTCATCCCTTAGCTTACCCAGTAACTGCAGTGATAAACTTGTTTGCTGTATCCAGGATACCCATCTACCTATTTCACAAGTCTGTCCTCCTGTTAAGTTTTTTGTGAACACTGTCCAGTAATGAGCACACAATGCAGCATGTCTGTGTTTATGAAAGCCTTACTGACTCTCTGATTCTAAACACTTGAGGGAACATTCAGACACACGTGCGTACTTGAGATCTGGGGGGAAAGCGGCTCTGGATACATGGTCATTTGCTTCAGGGCAAGGATGAGACACAGCCCAGATAAAAACCCCCTCTACTGGTTTCTATTACACTACTCTGTATTTCTCTTAGATGCAAATTAGGGAGTAAGAGTTCAACTGAGTATATCTAAAGTCTCTTCTGAAGTTCACCGAAACTTCTATAAAAAAGAGCAAATATGTACAACTTTTAATCCTCTGCTAAGTGCATGAGAACTTATGTTACAGTAATAAATAAATTCTAAGCATTCTAACATCAGATAAAGGCTAATATTTTATAAGGCAATGGGACAAACACATATGCAAAGGCAACTAACTGAACTTAAGAGAACAGAAAGGAGATTAAATATTACTAAAAAGCTGCCCTCAAAGTTGCTGGGTGGGGCGGGGGTGAGAGGGATGGGGGGAATGATGGCATGAGAATCCATGCGATAGTAACTTCCTTTCTGAACTCAAATCCTTTAAAAATTTCAAAGCGATTTTTCAGAAGAAATGTGCCTACAGAGTTTAGTACAAACAGAAAAACACATGGCTTGACAAACTAAAGATTTTTTCACTTTCATTTTCTTCTCTTCATGCTCACATTAAGTATGTGTATTAAATGTCTGTAACTCAGTGGGCCGGACGCACATATGACACGCCCAAGGCCCCACCCCCTTGTTCCACCCTTGTACTTACAGAGTTCATCCCACTGAACAGGTCACCTGACCCCACGTGAGCTGTGTGCACGAAGTTTGTGGGCTCTCCAATCATACTTCGGTCAATCCGCCGGCGCCTTTTCTAAAACATAAGGAATAATGTTCAGAAAATGGTCTTGTTAACAAAAAACTTATTCTGGTAGATTTATACATTATGCACAAATGACTCTTCTATGAAAAATGTTTTTGCCCAGGACAAGAAAATATCTAAATCTTGGTATCACCACAACCATCTCCTACGATGAACTCTCTCAGAGAAATATATGCAAGAAAAACAAAAAAAAATTGGTAAAGTAAAATAATATGTAGAATTTAAAATAGATTATTTGATCGAACTTTGGCCATCCATGTATTTGTATAATAACCATTTAAGTCTTATTCTTAAAAAAAAATATGTAAAAGTATCATCTGTAACCACTGTTCATAACAAAGAAGACAGTATGTCGGAAGTACTGAATTCTGAGTTCAAACACAACACTCTACGTCCATCGTTAAACACTGATGCTCTTTTGATGGTTATTACTTAGATGACAGCCAACTGCCCTTTCCTGCTGGAGCAGATCTGTCGGCTAGTGGTACAAGGGAGGTTTGGTTCTAGTCCAGTCACTGATTTCTGGTCTCTTCTGGCTGAAAGTTACAAACAGCCACCTGAGCTGTGCTTACCGCCTCCCGCTCATTTCCGACACCTCCATCCCAGCAGCTTCCTAGGACTTCAGCTGCAGGTGGCAGCAGCCCCTTCTCCACCAATACGCCCTCCACAGCACTAGGGACACTTCCTCACCCTGCTGCTGTGTTCAACTGAACCATCCAAGATTTTTCAAGAGAGGAAGGTCATTTTAAATCAGACCCAAGTTTTCCATCACTCCTTAGATTCTGTGATCGACTGAAAGAGGCCACAGGCACAGCTGGCTCAGTGTCCTAATGCCAACTCTGTGTAGTCCCATCTTCTTCCCTTTCAACAGAATACTTCTCCTGAAAACGCCACCTACATCAAAACTAACGCAAGTTACAAACTTGTGGAACTAGGTCAGGTTGCCCTTGAACATGGTATTTTATGTCTCCGGCCCCTGAAATGTTGCTCTGCATATGATAAATCCTAAAAACTTACCCAAGTGACAGCTCTTCAGGGCTAGACTGCGATTGTCTATAAAACCGCAAAAGTGGCATGTTCATACATTAATTTTAGAGCTAAAATAGATATTATTTTACTGTCCTCTACCTTTTATTGCCACAGAACCCCAAAAGAAGTCTCAAGAGTTCAACAGTGACTCTGGACCATCTCCAGGTTCATTGGTTTTCCCTTCCAGTATTCTGTATGGCATATGGGGATCCCTCTCTAGCTGAACACAAATTTTGCTACAGTGTACAAAAAGTTTCTTGTATTATTTCTTTGATATTTCTCCTTATGTTGTTTGCTATTTCTAGAGCTTCTGTTATGTGGACATCTGAACGTGCTTGTGTGTCTGAGGAGCGTGGGGGTGACGAGGAGGGAGAGAGTGTGCGTGTAATTTTCCTAGTTTCATCCATTATTTGTTTCCTTTGTATAGTTTCATTGTATTAAAAAATAACTCACTTCATCCTCTACAGGAATCCACATTGTGTTCTTGTAGGCCAGAGTAAATATTTTAAACCTGCAGGCCACACAGTCTGCCAAAGCTTTGAGCCCACTCTATTATCACAGTAGGTAAGGAGCTACAGACAAGCAGAGAGCAGGTGAGAATAGCAGTGTTCCATTTAACTGTTAAGCAAAAAAAGGGTGGCTTGTAAGTTCTGGTTTAGTGACCTTAGCCCTAGATTGGAAATTTTTTTCAGTGCTAGATACATTATTATTTTTTCCATTATAATTTTGTGGGGAAGCTCTTTGTTTGCAGTTATTTTCTAATCTGAGACTATTACATGATTTCTCTTTTTCTCTCAAAAATGCCTGATTGAATAAATTATTGTCTGCAACAACAGGTGTTAAAACTCTATAACAACCTCAGAGCCAACTCACTGGAAAAGAACCTGATGCTAGAAAGATTGAGGGCAGGAGGAGAAGGGCGTGACAGAGGGTGAGATGGTTGGATGACATCATCAACTCAATGGACATTAGTTTGATCAAAGGAGATAGTAACAGGGAAGCCTGATATGCTGCAGTCCACAGGATCAGCAAGAGTCAGACACAACTGAACAACTGTAACAGCTAGAAGTAAAATATTCATTCCTTTACTTCCCCAAATTTAATTACTTCAAGCCCCTTTTTAAAGGCTTAAGATTCAATCCATCCTTGGGGCCCTGTCCCCTAGGGCTATACAAAGACTTCAGGTTAAAAGGCTTGTCAGCCCGCCAAGTAAGGGTCTAGATCCTTTGTCTATGTTCTTCAGTCTTCTATTTCTTAGCAAAACATACCAACTTTCTGCTATCTTTACACAGTGCTACTTAAGGAACCTCACAGACTCCCTGCCCCTGACCACAGATGTGTCGCCTACGGCCATCCCTCAATGTGGGCGGCCAAGTGCCACCAACGCAGTCTCTTCCACCCTGTTTCCTATTTTCCCCTAGACTGAGTCTGTCTATCTCTGTCCACCAAATTTAACAAAGTTCCCTTCGTACTATTCTCATCTGAGATGTTACAGCACAAGTACCTAAATGATCCTTGAGAAGCAGTGCTACCTTCTCTTTTCTAGGATTAAGGAAGGGAAAAGACAATGCAAATAACTAGTTTTGTGCCTATTTTTTTCTCGATAATATACTGCTACACTTCCATTAAACTTGTCTTATTAGAAAGCTATGCTTCTCCAAGCACATCCAAATGCATCTGCACCAGAACAGGACACGAATTTTCTTGACACCTGATCGGGACAAACAGCTGGGATTTCTTCCCCAGGATGCCCCTTGACTGACAGGTAAAGGAGGAGGCTGCCAGGTTCCTGGCACACTCCAGACATAAGCAGAAAAGGGGAGATGTCTACAGACGAAGACAACGGTCAGCAGTTATATTCCCTGGACTCGTGGCATCTATAGGACTTCGGACTTTGTGCAGACCAGCCTGAAGGGGCCACAGCTCCCAAGTTCAGAGGGTGCCACCTGGCTCAGCCAGAGGGCCCCCTAAAGCAAGCAATGGACTGGCTCATTTCAGAGAATAAGATCCAGTAACACTTCCATATCATTCTTGCCCCATGAATACAGGAGACTTCTAACAGTTCTGAGCCCACATCATCTCCTTCAGAAGGGTGTGTCTGGGGCTTAGCAGGTGGCCACACCAGGCCCATGAATCTACATTATGTGAGTTATTCCAACAGTTGAGTTACTGCAGGAAGATGCAGGGAGAAAGGAGTCACCATGGTGCGCCGAGACCACCAGCTATCTCACCCAGAAATGTTTCCTGAAAGATTAATGAACGGATGTGCTTGTAGATCGATATGCTTCTGAAGTAGGTGTAGTAATATGCACTCAGAAACAATAACACAACGAGCATGCTGAATGAGAGAGGATGCTCAAGAGGAGACAGCTGAACTGACTCAAAGGACAGGAAGACATCATGCTTGTATCATAGCAATTATGTTGGATGACTAATTTATAATCTGAAAATAATGACTACTTTTCAACTTGAACTTGACTACTTTTCAACTTGAACTTTACGGAGCTGGGCATCACACTTTTCCTTTAGACTTTACTTCATGACATCTAGTCTAACCTTGATTTTAGGGTAAAAAAGCAGAAACTTCAATCCTCCCTTCTTTAAGGCTAGAAGGAGCACAGCTTGTTAAGCAGGGGAATGACATGATCAAAAGGGTTCTAAAAGGCTACCATGATAGCTACAATGGAAGGCAGGGTGGAGGGCACCAAAAGAAAAGTTATTATAATGATGTTGGTTAAAGGAGTTTACTTAATTTCAACTAACAGTAGCAGAAATGGAAAGTGCAGATTGAAGCTAAAATCAAAAACATTTGGTTGTTGACTGGATTTGAGAACTAGTGAAAGGTAAAAGTTATGAAAGATGTACAGATTTCAGATCTGAATACAGGGTATATGATTTACTGGATTAGATAATATTGGGGGAAGAGTCTTGCTGGAAGAATCATACTGGACGAAGATCAAAGATTCTGTTTAAGCACACTGAATTTGAGACTTCCCCCGTGGTCCAGTGGCTAGGACTCCGCACTCCCAATGCAGGGGGCCTGGGCTCCATCCCTGGTCAGGGAACTAGATTCCACAAGCCATAGCTAAAAGTCCCCATGACATAATTAAAAATCACACACGCTGCAATGAAGACGAACAATCCCGCATGCCACAACCAAGACCTGGCAGCCAAACAAATAAATGGGGGAAAAAAGACACACCGAATCTGAGATATCTATGAGAGATTCAAGTGAGGCCTCTCAAATGATACTCAGCATGCCTCATGTTCAAGTGACCTGAATACACAGAGGATTCTGAAAAGGGCTAAACTAGAGATGAGAAGCTGGAGTCACCAGAATGAAGCAGTCTGAGTTAATGAGACTTCCTAGGAAGAAAAGTGCAGAGAAAAACACTCTTTATAAGGCTGGATGAGGAAAATAAGCCATTAAAGGAAGCCAAAAAGGAACAGTCTACGAGTCAGGAGGAAAGTCAGATGTGGGTTCTCCATGTGTTGGGGGGGGATTAGGTGACGCGCTGCAAAGCCAGTGGGAGGTCGGGTGAGGAGAAGCTTGTCCCCTGGACTCAGCACCTACTCCGCACATGGGTGATCCTGCACCTGCCGTGACGGGAGCGCCAGACATCAGGAGAGTGGTGGGCTTCCAGGAGACAGGGAAGTGAGAACTCAGCACAGGGGACGGGACAGGGTCTGGCCTCTGAACGGGGAGGACACAGCTGTGGCTCAAGGGAGAAGAGGAAGCCAGCACAGACTGGATTTTTCTCCCTTCACGATGAGAAAGACTTGCTTATGCTTCATTTCTGACGTGACAGATCAGAAAAGAAATAGAAGGTAAAGAAAAATGAAGGGTTATCAATATTCTAAGTCCTCCAGAGAAGGTAGGAAGGACGGGATCCAGACCCGGGCTGAGGTGGTCTTCAGACTTCTGTTACTACTTTCTGAGTCAGAACCTAGATTCTGAGCAT